TACCACAGAGAAGATAGTGAAGGCCCAGGATCCTTACAAACATGGGCACAGGGCCACTCTGGTGATATCTAGGAATAATGGCAGGGAAAAATGCACCTGAGCTTCCTTTGGGACTCAATCTCCCCCTCCCACTCTACAGATAATTTTGCAGCTTATTCTATTTTAGGGGAGAAAAAACTCTATTGTGTCCAACAGTAATAGTCAAAGTAAAATTTCCCTCCAGGAACTCAGAAACTGGCTGCAACCCACATTAGGAATGCTGTCATTTAAGCTAAAGGATTTAGCCAAGGGTTGTCCCAAGAAACAAAGCCTTGAAAAAGATCTATGGCTGGGTGTGCTGGCTCATGCCTGTGATCTCAACACTTTGGGAGGCTGAAGCGGATGGCTCACTTGAGCCCAGGAGTTCGAGACCAGCCTGGGCCACGTAGCAAGGCTCCGTCCCTACAAAAAAATTATTAAAAAAAAAAAAAAAAATAGCTGGGCATGGTGATGTGTGCCTATAGTCCCAGCTACTTGAGAGGATGAGGTGGGAAAATCCCTTGATTCCAGAAGGTCGAGGCTGCAGTGAGCTGCGATCACACTGTTACATACGAGCCTGGGCAACAGAGTGAGACACTGTCTCAAAAAAAAAAAAAAAGAAGAAGAAGAAGAAAAAAAAAGATCTAATGAGAGCTGAAGAAAGATTCCTGCGTGGAGCCCCAGCGGCTGTTCCTGGCCTTCTGAGTGACTGACAGGCCGGCAATTTCAGGCACAGGGCATTTCCACTTTAGCAGTTTTCTGGCACTTACGTCTTTCTTGGAGTCTTTACAGATGTGGCATCTCACCTCTGAAAACCCTGCAAGGCAGGAGGGGCAGGATCAGAGTCATCGGATTTTCTCTACAGCTCCCAAAGGTCAGGAACCACATGAGGGAAGGGACCAGAACCCCACTTCTAACCATAGGTGCGTGGAGAGCTCCAATCTCTCCACCTACTGCGGTGGTACCCGAGATCCTTCTTTTGCCTGGCCTCTCTCCAGCTACATCTGATCCCACCCACTTCTGAAATCTCAGCCAACTCATCAACTTCCCCAAAGTAGCTCCCAATCCAGTTTTCTTGTCTGTCTTGGCCAATGCCACTTCTTTCTCTTAGTTACCAGGGTATGAAACTTCCACTTTGTACTTGCCACTGTCTCTTCTCTTCCCTCCCCCAATCTCGTCCATCACAGAGCCTGTTGCTTCCTCCTCCATCACTTCTCTCTCATCCACCCTGGCCCCTCTACTTCGATCCATGGGTCTACAGAGGTATGGGTTTCCGTATTTGTGATTTGTTTTTCAGAGCCGAGGGACGTGCTCACTTTGAGAGTAGGGCAACAGTCGGGACAGGCTGACTTTGCCAACAGAACCACCACTTTTGGTCTCTGATGATAATGGCCCCCTGGGTGGTTTTCAGTGGCCAGGATGTGGGGATTTGGTGGAAGCTGAGGGAACCCCTAAAACAGATGTCTCCAACTACACAAAGGACAAAGTACCTTATGCTGCCTCACTTAGCAGAAGCCGCACCACATGGGGCTGCCACAGAAGCAAAGGATGAACAGCAGGTCTGATCGATAGCTGCAGACCACATTTACTCAAAGTACTTCCTGTCCATTCCTGTGTCTCCTACCATCCATACTGAGAAATCAGTGTTTTCTGTGGGAGAATTCTCCCTCCCCTTGCTACCCATGTTCTATTTAGAAACAAATGGCCACTATTTCTACAAGAACTTCTTTGCCAGATAGAAAGGAGCAGTCAGAGAAGTGGCCAGCTGTTTCTCATGGACAGGATGGAGGGAAAACTGAACCAGCTCATGGCTTCTCAAATTTTGAGATGCCTACAAATCACCTGGGCATCTTTACAAGTCCCTGGATGAAATGGAGATTCTGATTCAGCTGGTCTGGGGTGAGGTTTGAGGCTCTGCGTTTCTAGCAAGCCCCTTCGGGAAGCTGATGCTGTAGTGTGTGGCCCACCCTGGGAGTAGCAAGGAACTGGTCACCACTTGCACCTTCATCCTCAGGCTTCAATCCCCAGGCCCATGGGACTTCTGCTGCTCCAATCTTGATGCTCGAGTTCTCAAAAGGAGAGATACAAAACTCGCTCCCTCCCTACGCCAATGCACTCCTGCATAGAATGAAGCTGTCAGCTGGAGCTACAAAAGCTGCCCAAAGGCACCCCAAACCTGCAATTGGAAGGAAAGAAATCTTAAAGCCCCCCCCAAAAAAAAAATCCTTCAGTCACTTCCAAATCCTCTATCTTTTGATTTCACTCTTACACCATGGCCCTCCTTAAGCCAGTCTTTCACAGGGAATCAGCGGAGAAAAAGGGAAACATTCACTCTAGATTCCGGTTGTCAGGAGCTGGACCCCGCAGCAGGTGCTCACCTTGTGTTTGTCACCATCCCTGCAGCCCTGACAGCATCATCTTACAATGTAACCTCTTTCCTGCCATGGACCCCACACTCTGTTGCTATCTTGTGTATTATTCGCATGCATGCATTTTTAGCTGCACGGAAATACATACTACCAAGAAAGACCTGCGTCTGGGCAGAAAAGAGGCACTCTCCGAATATATATTTTTAAAACCTCTAGACTGGAAAAGAGCACATCTGTAGTAGAAAAATAAGCCCCAGTTATTCAGAGAGCAGAGATGGGTTTTGAAGAGGACAGATGCTAGCAATGGCACTGGCCCCAAACACTTCCTCTCTCTCCATTTTTTTAGAACGAAAATGTTATGGGATGGAGGGTGGGATTTTGTGAATGAGTGAATATACTATCTTAAAGATCTATATTTAGAGACATTTCAGAGCAGCAGTTCTACGGAGAGAAGCCTCAGGCGGGTGCATATGGACCAACTCAACCGTGAAAATATTTGATAAGCAGTTTCCATCACAATGTGGTCATTCAGCCTGAAATTTTATTTAAACACCACTATTCCAGTGGGCAGAACCTTAAAGGACCTTATCCAAAAAGGCACAGTTACCTAACAGAAGCTCTCTAAACTCAGCCCTCACCTGACAGAATACAGATCATTTATTAACTCAGCTGAGCAAGAGGGCGGGGATGTTAGGGACTGGCGAGCTGAATTTCCAATGACTGAGGAGCACATTTTCCCAAACGTACAGTCACTTTGTCCTTTCTGTTTCCTAAGCTCTTTACTAGATAGGTCTGAGCTGTGAGAGGTCTAAGCTGTGAGAGCTGGCCAGTGCCTGTCACTGATTAACTCAATTCCACTATAGAGACTTGCAAAAAATAGGTTAAAATGGGTCTTTTCTGCTTAGACTCGAGTTGTATTTCCATGCATCTAGCAATACTACACGTGCATGAGAAACAAGGCAGGCACAGCACAAGGATCCTGACATTTAAAAAGAAAATTCTCAAACACGATGTACCTCTATTATAAGACGATGCTTTCTCAAGCTACAGGGGTGAAGACAAATGATGGGTGCACACCTGCTCCGAAGAATGATTCCCTGCTAAAGAGCTGGAGCCCAGAAAACCACAAGGCTCAGCCTAGCATTACATCACCACGCCAAGCCAGCTCCTCACTGGATCCCAGGGGTCGGGGGACCAGTGAGGAAGTCCCCCACCTTGGGGCCCCATCCCTCCTACAACATACAGACCAATCCCCAGCATCTTTTAATCTACACATCCATGACTCTTAAGAACCCACCACTTTACTACCCCCACCCCAAGTCCCCAGAAAACACTCTTCTCTGAAACAGTCTTCTCTCTGGAAAAGGTTGGGGGAGGCGGGGGGCGGGCAGGTGAGGCTAGGAGGTCCACTTTGGATACAAGCCTGAGTTGCTGAAATGCGACCCGGCAGGCAGACCCATTCAATAAGCCCCATCATCCAAACATGCCTGGTAGGTAATGGAGACGACCATAACAGAAACGTGAATTCTAATAAACACTCAGCCAGGATAAAGGCCACTTCTGAGCACGTTAGCTCTGTGGTTGAGAGAAAAGATCGGATTCCTGGATCGATGCACAGTCAAGCACTGCCTCCACCAATGACAGTACGGTTCGGCCCTTTACTAATAATAGCAAGCGGCCTTGTCCTCGAGTGTTCACCAGAGTGAGTATGTGGATGATGCTTAGGCTAACTGGACGGAACGTCCACCAGAGCACACCACGCTATCTGCCCAGCCACACGCGTAGCTGCCCGGAAACTGGGCTGTCTCCCTGGGCACCGAGCTGCCACGCTCATGGGTTCTTCCTAGGAGGAGGCAGTCGCTGATGCCTGGCTGTTCCCTTGCAGGAAATACCACTGCGCCGGGGGTGCAGAGGAAACATGCTGACGGCAGGAGAAGCCCCCGACCATGCACCCACTGCTGAGCGACCAAAACCGAATTCCTGGGAATCGTTTCTGCCCGCAGCAGTAACTTGAGGCTACCAGATGCTCCTCCCAGAGCAGTCACCAGGTAAAGCCTTGCAACGCTGCGGAGAACCCTAGGCCAGCCTGGGCTCTAGGCTGCACAGGCATTAGGAAAGGCGACACTAACAAAGCCCGGGCATCCTCTCCTCCTCCCCGGGAGGCTCGGGGCGGCCCGGGCGGAGCACTTACATTGCCTCGGAAGCCTCCAGGTTCAGGTCGCTGGCTGGGGCTGGCTGCAGGGACTGCGACCCTCCCATCCTCGCTGTGCCCTGGCGTGCAAGCTAGCTGCGAGTGGGGCCAGCGTCCTGGCGCGATTCCTGCAGCCGGGAGCCGGGGCGGGCCGGCCGGCGGCCGGGGTTGCTGCACTGCAGAGGGGAGCAGCTGCGGGCATCCGTGGCGGCGGCTGCGGCGGCAGGGAGCTGCGACTCGCGGCCCGAGCCGGGGCCCGGGGGGCGAGCGCCGCGGATGTGTGCGCGCGAGTGTGGCCGGCGCGCGCCCGAGTGTGGCCGGCGTGCGCGGCTCTGCCCGGGGCGTGCGGGTGTGAGCGTGAGCGCCGGTGTGGTCCGAAAGGCTCTTCTCTTAAACCCCCCCGGCAGCCGGCTCCTGTGTGTGACACGATGATGTCATCATCGCCGAGCAGCCCCAACGCCTGCATCTTCACAAAGCTCCATCGCGGGCTCCGGAAACCGGGCTGGGGGTGGGGAGGCGAAGACCCTCCCTCTGCCCCAGCCCCTCCCGCCTCGCCGGGACCGCCCGCATTGTGTAGCTTTGAAATGCAAACGAGCCGCGGCCCGGGAGCTGGGGCCCCAGAAAGGAGGGGCGTGGTGGTCGGGTGGGCTGACCACCGAGAGTAGGGGGCTCAGCCCTGCTGGCTCATCCCTCCAGGAAGGAGGAAATGGTCTCTCCCGGCCCAGGACCAGGGGGACGGTTGGAGGAACAGGTAAACAGGCTGCAGCGGGCCGCGGGAGCGACGCTGGCAGAGACGTGCGCCCTTTTCCACCGCCGGCTTCTGCCGGCTTCAGGCCCTGGGCCCTGGAGGCAGCTAAGGTCTGTACCAGGGAGAGTTGCGGGGCCTGGCTCTCCCCTCACAGCCAGCCCGGGCCTGGCCTCCAGGGACCTTTGCACCGCATAGTCTGCACGGCTTGGGGCAAGCTAGGGGGCAAAAGGTACTGGGCCTGGGAGCGGGTTGGGGCTGCAACACCATCTTTGGCCACCAAATGAGCCCCACAAAGCCAAGCCCTGTGCAAAGGCTCACCCTAAACAAGCAGACGCCTGGCCAGCTGAGCCACCCAAGGCAGGCCCCTAATGCAGCATCGTGTACAGGGCAGAGGCACTTTCCGTGACATGCATCGGCTCAGCTCTGTGATTCTAAACGGGCTGGGCCTGGAGGAATGTCCGTGACACCCTGTCACCAAGCTCCCAGTGCCCAGCGCCATTCTGTGGCTGGCAGCATATCACCCACCCACTAGCAGCCAAATCCCCAAATCCCCGTCCCTGGCCTGTGGCTGGCTGGGAAACCCTCAAGGCTTGAGCGCCTGAGCCGCCTCACTGAAGGCTGCTGGAGAGAGTTCATCATCTCCGCATAGGTACAGGTGGTTTGGGGCACACCTGGGAACCCCACCGTCCCCCTCATGCTGTACATTCAACACAACCGCTTCCTGCGCTCCCAGCCCAGACTCACAACTGAATTCAAATGGAACCTCTGATGGGTAAGTGGAAGACTCTTCCACATTTTCGCAGCTTTTCTTCACCCATAGGGCGGTGGGCCTAAAATGTATCTCAACTGTGGCCAAAAGCAAAAGAAAATAAAAACAAAATTGTTCAAAGCATTTTAAAATTGCCTCCAATACACTGTTTTCTAGCGACGTGGCCAAGGACGTTTGGATGGGCTCTTCTGATACTGACACTCGAGGTCACAGTAGTTCCAGAGCTTCACGGGGACTGACTTTCCACTGCTGCTATTCAGTATCAGTGTCAAACAGAATGCCAGAGGATCAACATCGTTCTGTGGGATGTAACAACATGAAATTTCCAGGAAACATTGAGAAGGTTTACTTTTGCATTTATATGAAAATAGCTAATGATTATGTCAATCTTGCAGGGAAGGTAGCTGTCAGGGGTGGCGTGATGAGGCGTGCTCTGGAAAGCACCTCCCGGGGAAGCTGTCACTCAATGTCAGCATTGGGTGTCACTTGGTGGCAAGGATCCTGCAACCTGTTCATCCTGTCATCATTCTCAGCACCCTGGGGGTTTGTTTCGCTGTCAGAAAACAGACCTCTTGGGCTCCATATGCAGGTGAGGGCCCAAAGAAGCTTACCACGCGGAGCTGAAACATTGGTAAGCTCTAACCTGGGCTGGTACTGTTCTGAGGAAAGTGGCCCTTTCCCTGGGCACCTAGGGACTGGCCTTCAGCCAAGCCTGGTACTCAGAAAATACATGAGGAAAAAATGAGGAACCACAATTAGAACTCATCTGCCAACTTTTAAAAACATTTTTCAGATGATGTCCAAAAGCACAAAGCCATCTAAATGTCCTTACCCTGAGTAGGTAGAGGTTCTGCTGCGATAACAAGATAGGGTTTGAAATGAGACCGGAGTTCAAATCCTGACTTTTCCCTCATTAGCTGTGTGGCCTGAGCCGACTGCTTAACCATACTGAACCTTATTTCCTCAGCTGACAAAAGAGGAAAAGCATCTATTTTGCAAGGACATTGGAAAAAGTAAATTAAATACCATCTATGAATGCCCAGGACCAGGATTCTTCTTTATAAGGTAAAAATTTCCCCCAAGTATGTGGGGAAAAGAAAGAGATCAGCCTGTTACTGTGTCTATATAGAAAGAAGTAGACATAAGAGACTCCATTTTGTTCTGTATTTGAGATGCTGTTAATCTGTGACCCTACCCCCAACCTTGTCCTTGCAAGAGACATGTGCTGTGGTAACTCAAGGTTTAATGGATTTTGGGCGTGCAGGGTGTGACTTTGTTCCTAGATAAGCTAGGTATTGTCTAAGGTTTCTCCCCATGTGATAGACTGAAACTATGCTGCCAAAAGGTTTATGGAGATGTTTGCATATGCATCTCAAGGCACAGCTTTGTCCTTTGAACTTATTCATGTCACAGAGGTTTTTGTTCATATGTCTTACTGCTGATTTCCTCTTTTTTCTTTGATCCTATTGTCCTGCCACTCCCCTGTCTTTAAAATGGTAAAGATAATTATCAATAAATACTAACGGAACTCAGAGACCGGGGCCGGCGTGGGTCCTCTGTAAGCTGAGCGCTGGTCCCCTGGGCCCCCGCTTTTCTTTCTCTATACTTTGTCTCTGTGTCTTATTTCTTTTCTCAAGTCTCTCGTTCCACCTTGCGAGAAACACCCACAGGTGTGGAGGGGCAGGCCACCCCTTCAAAGTATAGTACCATAAAGGAAATTAAGGCAGCATTAAAGTGAAGTGCTTTTACGTAGAATCCCAACAACTGAAAAGCTATGACATAGTGACAGGGTATATTACTTAGTGGGACAACAGCATCTCACTGTTGTCAGAAACACAGTCAAGAACCAGGAGGGGGGCTGGGCACCGTGGCTCACATCTGTAATCCCAGCACTTGGGGAGGCCGAGGTGGGAGGATTGCATGAGCCCAGGAGTTCAAGACCAGCCTGGGCAACATAGTGAGACCCTGTCTCTACAAAAAATAAACAAAATTAGCTGGGTGTGGTGGTGTGTAACTGTGGTCCCAGCTACTCAGGAGGCTGATGTGCTTGAGCCCAGTAAGTCGAGGCTACCAATGGACCCCGAGCTGGTAATTAGCCCGAGCATACACACTCAGTGAGCAATGATCGTGCCACTGCACTCCAGCCTGGGTGACAGAGTGAGCCCCTGTCTCAGAAAAAAAAAAAAAAAAACCAGGAGAGAAACAAATAGAATGTGGGCACCATTACAGTCGATGCAACTAAAACCCATGCGTGATTAGTTTGTGTAAATTATTTATGGAAGAGTCTCTCAGACCCCCATTGAAGACGTTTTGATGCTGACTTTACAAACAATTTAAAACAAAGCTGGTGATCTAGTAACTTGGCCTACAGAAAATGTAAAGCTGAAGAAAATGAGGGAGAATGAGCAGAGAGGGAAAGGGCTGTGCTATGGACCGAATGCTTGTGCCTCCCTCCCAGATTCATGTGTTGAGGCCCTAATCCCTAGGGGGATGGTATTTGGAGGTGAGGCTTTTGGGAGGTAATTAGAATTAGATTACGTCATAAGGGTGCCCTCGAGATGAGATTATACCTGTATAAAAAGAGAAAGACACACAAGACCCCCCCTCCCAACCCTCCTTCTCTGCTGTGTGAGGCAAGAAGGTGGCCATCTGCAAGCCAGGAAGAGAGCCTTCCTCAGGAGCCCAACCATGCCGGCACCCTGACCTCAGACATCCAGCCTCCAGAACTGGAAGAAATCAATGTGTTCTATTTAAGCCACCCAGGGAACCCCACCACTCCTAAGCATGGCCCTAATGAGACCCTGAACTCAGCCCCTGGTGGCCTTTAGACCACAGTCCACATATTCTAGGCCCCCGAAGGTCATAGCCTGCTTAGACAGGCTCCACTGCAAACCTTCCTACTGAAGTCCCCAAAGACACCCTAGAAACCTGGATAAATCAAGGAATGCATCCATCATTTCTAAAAAGCAGTTCAACGTATATTAATGCACCTATTGTGTGCCTGGCCTATAAGTGGAAACCAGCTTATTCTCACAGTACTTAGTGACACCTACCAGAAAAAGCAGCAAACCTGACAAATCCCTGTAGCCAAAAGATAAACCATGTAATGCAACCTCTTAAGTCCCACAGAGGTTCAAGGGACTGAGCCATGGTCAGAAACTGTGAGTAGTTTGAGACCCCTCTGATACCCCAAGAAAAACAAACGTGAGTGGCTCCACCTTTGCCTCTGGCCTCAGGGAGTCTCCAGTTGCCATAGCAGCGAGACTCTCCAAACACTACCAGTGGACCCCGAGCTGCTAATTAGCCCGAGCACACACACTCAGGAAAGTAGGTCAGATCACAGAGAAACCCATCTGGAGGAGCTAAGAATGTAAACACAGATGGAGAACGGGGCTCCTCCAAGCCCTGGGTCTTCACCACCACCCACTACACCCTGGTGGGGAGTGGAGGGAGGCTGGACAAAACCCCAGCAACTTCTCTTCAGGGAACCAAGCTTGAGACCGGCTCTGGGCTGTCTCTGAGAGTGTTATCTTTTTCTTTTTTTTTTTTTTTTTAATTTTTTTTTTTAGACGGAGTCTCGCTCTGTCGCCCAGGCTGGAGTGCAGTGGCCAGATCTCAGCTCACTGCAAGCTCCGCCTCCCGGGTTCCCGCCATTCTCCTGCCTCAGCCTCCCGAGTAGCTGGGACCACAGGCGCCGCCACCTCGCCCGGCTAATTTTTTGTGTTTTTAGTAGAGACGGGGTTTCGCCGTGTTAGCCAGGATGGTCTCGATCTCCTGACCTTATGATCCGCCCGTCTCGGCCTCCCAAAGTGCTGGGATTACAGGCTTGAGCCACCGCGCCCGGCCGAGAGTGTTATCTTGTTACTCCACCTGAGGCCCCGCGCATCCAGCCCCACGTCACACAACTCTGCACCCAGTAGTCCCTGAACGCCTGAGCCCTGCACCGAGCTAGGCACACTCACTGCCTTGCCGAAAATTCGAAGAGCTGGGAAGCTGTGTGGCCTGAATGCAGTACCCACACATCAACATGAGCAGGGTACCTGTGAGCAGGGACAGAGCCTGGGCTCAGGCAAGAATGGCGCGGTGCCGGGCTTTCTCTACCCAGGTGTCACAGTCCCGGGATGGACGCTCTTTCCTGGGCTTTGGGGACACGCTTCCACATCACTCAGTCTTGTTCCAAAGGTTGTCCACTGCCTTTGCAAAAAATTCCCCATTCAACCTCCTGGCTTTGATTCGGCATTGGAGCATGGCCAGGTCCTCACCGTGGCCTCACCGCTGAGGAGCTGCCCCCTCCTCAACTTCTCCATCTCTCTCCGTTCCTCCAGAAAATCACATCCCAGCTCTCCCAACTCCCCGGAGGGGTCTGCTCCCTGCCAGCCCCCAGACTTTTCTTCCCATTCCCTCGGCTGCCTGCACATCGATGCCTTGGTGCTTTCTTGCCTTGTTAGAGTCTCAGGTGTGTCTGTGTCTTGTGTCTCTGCTCTCCAGCCATGCAGGGTGCCCCAAACACAACCAGAGCCCATAAACACATGCTGCACGAGACCTCAGAGGACGGGGAGAAGGTCCTGGCAAAACTCTGTCTTATGATGAATAGAGAAAAGGCAGAAGATGGTTGCGTTCGTTTATGTGCAGCGGTACAGATATTCTGTTAACCTCTTACAGGCCAGCATGAAATCTCACATGCTCACCTTTGGGAGTCTGAGTGGTTTCTTGGGCTTAAGCACAAGTTTCAGTGAAGCCCCATCTTTTCCAGAAGGTTCTCTTGTTCTCTCCTTGCAAAGGGCTGATCTATTTACAGCATCTCTTTCTACCACCTTCACCATATTTACACCTGGGACCTTTCAGAGTTCTTCACAAGCAAGGACAGCTCTACAGGCGAGTCTTCAGGGGGAAAAAAACTGTCGATTCAGTTATGACAGAGGGAGAGGACTGGGAATTTTACTATTAGACCCAGGGAGGTAAGCCAAATGTGCTAGAAAAGAAGACAGTAAAGAGAAATGAGACTCACTTTTGTTTTTTGGGTTTTTTTTGAGACAGAGTCGTGCTCCGTCGCTCAGGCTGGAGTACAGTGGCGCAATCTCAGCTCACTGCAACCTCGGCCTTCTGGGTTCAAAAAATTCTCCTGCCTCAGCCTCCCAAGTAACTGGGACCAAAGGTGCATGCCACCACGCCCGGCTAATTTTTGTATTTTTTAGTAGAGATGGGGTTTCGCCATGTTGCCCAGGCTGGTCTTGAACTCCTGGCCTCAAGTGATCCGCCCGCCTCGGCCTCCCAAAGTGCTGGGATTGCAAGTGTGAGCCACCTGTAATCTCGCAGCCAGTTGAGATTCAGTTTTATTTTTAAATTAAGAATTCAGAATATATTTGTAATCTTTGATATCTATAGGAAGGAAGGAAGAAAGGAGGGAAGGAGGGAGGGAGGCCAGTCCGAAAATCTCAGGGCTATACAAAAGTTATTAACATTAGGCCGGGCGCGGTGGCTCAAGCCTGTAATCCCAGCACTTTGGGAGGCCGAGACGGGCGGATCACGAGGTCAGGAGATCGAGAGACGATCCCGGCTAACACGGTGAAACCCCGTCTCTACTAAAAAAATACAAAAAAATAGCCGGGCGAGGTGGCGGGCGCCTGTAGTCCCAGCTACTCGGGAGGCTGAGGCAGGAGAATGGCGTAAACCCGGGAGGCGGAGCTTGCAGTGAGCTGAGATCCGGCCACTGCACTCCAGCCTGGGTGACAGAGCAAGACTCCGTCTCAAAAAAAAAAAAAAAAAAAAAAAAAAAAAAAAGAATTCTCATCACATATGAAAAAAAAAATCAGTAACACAAATACCATGTTCAAAAAGACTGAATTCTCAAAATCTTCCTTTCTTTATCAAATTAATTCAGCCCTCTTTTTCTTAAACACATCATTGCTGGCTTGATAGTTCCACTCTTTTGAGATGGAAATCGTAGGAGACACTCATGAGGTAGCTTTTGAGAGAATATACCCTACCTAATGTCAAAAAGGACTTAAGCTCACAATTCAAGAGAACAAAGAAAATACAGGAAGAAAAGGTGGGTAAAAGCCAGAGGGAGTGAGGTGAGCCTGGAAGTACTGACGTAAGCTCTTGCAGGAGTGGGGTAGGAGTCTGGCTCTAAGTTTCCCAACAGCCAAAGCAAAAAGGGCAACAACTATGACCAGTTACATGATTCACAAAATCCGACAGGTTAAAAAAACAAAAAAAAGACCATCCCACGGATGAGCAGCTTCTGTTGTGACTTTCTGAACATGCATTCTCCCACAAGCCCTTCACCAGGTGACTGTACGTACATGATGGCTGATGCCTTCAACAATATCCTCCCACCAATACAATATTCTTCCATAGAGCTATGTCAGCAAGCACGGCAGGGGCTCCTCAGCTCTCCTGGCAATCAACAAAATCCAAAAACTACAAAGTTCCCAGGATGCGTTTCTAGTCCCCCTATCCTACACTAAGGGTCCCCACCACTCAAGTTTCCATGCTAACAAGGTTACATAAGAGAACACAAAGGGCAGCATTAGGACAACGTCATCAACAAAGTAACCATTTATAGACTTGATCCTCCCTCACATGCTCCTCCTGTCTTCACA